CTGACAGAGTTTTAAATTGTTTTCTTCAATCTTAAATGTTGGTTCAGTAGTTCAGAATGTTTAATACGATTTGTCCTTATTTTACTTCATTTTATACTTAATAGGTTAACGTTTGGCCACCATCTCGAATGAAGCATTAAACTGTCAAACACCAAGCGGTCACCGGTGACCGCAATCTATTGTTCTATAATTGTGTCTATAATGTCGGTATTCAACGAGTTAATTAAGTACAAAACTAGTATTATTCTTCCCATTGACAGGCAAAATTAAGATTAACGAGAATAACCAATTATAGGACACATTGGACTGCCTCGTCGGCCGAGTGGTCGCAAGTGCGACTGCCGGGCAAGCAGTCTCGAGTTCGATTCCCGGGTCTGGCAAAGTATTATAGTGTTTTTAAAAAAATCTCAGTAGTAGCACGGAGCCTGGAATTGTGCCCGGTATATGGCAATAGGGTCACCCCCTATTACATGGGATTCATAACATAAATAGTTGGTATTACATTGTACAGTGGCATTAAGTGCCGTAGTGTACACCTCTGCCTACCCCTTCGGGGATAAAAGGCGTGATGTTATGGACATATTCAAAATATGAAAATATTTATATGAAGTTAGCGCCAAGCACTGAAGTTATTCCTATAAAATAAACACTACTTAAACTTGCACCAAACAGCAAAGGGTTGCAGCCCTTCAGTACGAGGCATCCATTAGAATCGATCATATTCCATAACGCGGTACACACATTTGCATTAGGTATCGATCACACACTCGTTCTATATTATAATTACCTATTTATTATTCCACGTGTGTATTAGAAAATTGAAAGCGTAAATATTTTCCCATCTTTACGTATAAATTTCACCATGATACGTAGGTATACGTTGAAAATGAATTTAGTAATTGAAATGTTCGAAGAGACAAAAGTGTTTTGCCAGTTCCGTAACTGATTCTGGAAATATGATGGATAAATTGAATATTAAAAGCCGTAGAAGTATCTTGTATTTTACAAATTATGTAATTAAAACTAGTTCAAAGATTCACCATGATACGTAGATATACGTTGAAAATGAATTTAGTAATTGAAATGTTCGAAGAGACAAAAGTGTTTTGCCAGTTCCGTAACTGATTCTGGAAATACAAATAAGTATGTAATTAAAACTAGTTCAAAGATGACTAAACGTTTACTGAAATTGTGGACTTTGTAGTAAATAAGAATGAAAGTCATGGCAATGTAATTACATGTAGATTATGATGTATATTTGATAAATTCTCCTCTCCTTACCTCGATAAAACTAGTTATGATTGTATCTGCACAACAATAAATTTTAAATATGTTACTGTTTTAAGAAAATCAAAGGTACAGGTATAAGAACAATGGTGAGCAGTACGTCAAGCAGCTTCATTGCAAAATTAAAGAGATAGATTAAGCTTAGAGTATATTTTATTTTACCCCAAATTTATTCCCTAAACGTATTTTTTTCCCTATACGTATACCTAACGGGTTATCGGGGTTCCGGCTCGACGTGCAGGAGAAGGAACGGGGTGGTTTTTAGTCAGTAAGAGTCTGACACTCCCTCCCGCCTCACCCAGGCGTGAGCAGCCATTCGATGATTTTCCCTCCTTAAAAAAAAAACTTCAAAATAAGTAGTGTTTCCTTAACCGAAAGATTACCAAGACCAGATCATTCACAGAACATAGTATAAACACCAGTAAACCATAAGTTCAGCTCCCGTTTAGCTTCACTATGTTCCTACCGATCGCTAAATGCTTTTTAGTGCAAGCAGCCTGAAAACGGTTATCGCCTTACACATTTCTAGCTTCTATGTGCCTTACCATTTGTTTTAACTCATTCTAAATTGTTATTGTAAACCGTTTATAAGAGTATTTTCAGTTTATAAAGTTGTGGTTTAAAACTGAAGTGTATAAGTATTTTTAGTTGATAGAATGTTGTTTCCTATAGACGCGGTCGTGGCTTTAATTTTCATCCTTGAAATTGTCGAAAAAAATTGTATTAAATATAATTTTTTATTTGTCAGTATTATACGGGGTCTAGTTAAGAAAAAGTATTACTTTTTATTACAACCGACCCGATTACATTGATTGCGAAATTTTCATATTAAATTTGCTTATTTAGTTATTACGTTGTTTATTGCGTTTAGTCAGCTATTAGTTATGCCATCAAAACAGATGATATTATTACATTTTTTTTATTTCTTATACCTACAATCAGAGCACAGCAACAAATAAAAGAAATCTCCAACATCAAAGTCGACAAACAAACTATACAAAAACCTATGATCTCATTTGCCCTACACTTTTGGAATTTGTCAACTTTTTGTTGAACTCCATTGGTCTATTGTACCCAAATAATGGCGATGGTTGTTAGTACCGTTCATCACCCATTAGTAGGGGAAGGTCAGTCGCCCAAGTGATGTATGTTTTCATAAATCTTTTGAACGCTGACATCGTAAGGATAAGGAGGTGAAAACGGGTTCCCGAGGGATTTGCTGACGATTTTGCGGTGTGTAATTTTGTTATTACGTTTTTAACAAGATGTGTAGTTTTGTTTTCATTGTTAATGAAGCTTTGCAAATAGGTGTGGAGTAAATGATTCATTTATTTTAAATGTGAACTTATATCTAAATAACTTAACTTCACACACAATTTTGGTCCCCGAAGTGTTAGACAGAGGTGCATAGCAGTTACAATGTAACCATTGCTTATCGCCATTTAACTCGTCGAGTACCGGTTTTGTAGACACAATTATAGAACAATAGGTTGCGGTCACCGGTGACCGCTTGGTGTTTGACAGTTTAAGTTATGTGATCCTACTTTATTTTTCACTTAAAAAACGAGGTAGTCAGATAATATTAGGGTAGATGACTAATTTTTATTTTAATGTCCGTCTGGTAGATTATTTTAAAACTTGTTTTTTTTTTGCAGAAATGAATACTTTTGACGATATATTGATTTGAAGTATCGCGTGACGTCACTTCTATGTTCATTTTATACGTAGAAATGACGTTTTGGCCCTAAACTTTGATTTGTTATATCTAAGTATCATTTTATTATACCTACAAAAGAATAAAAAAATACGTGTCTAATATTTTTTTTATTATCTAACTGACGGACCTATAAATTTTTTTATTTTCATACCCTGTCATCAGCTCTATTGTATTATTAATGGCATTTTCTCTGAAATTTATGTATGTAGTTTAATAATACTACATTAATCAATTTATTTTTAAAGTCATATTCTCTTCCCCGTCGTTTTTAGTTCAAGAGAATATTGTCACATGAACTCAATCGCGATAACATTACAATTTTCGGAATTAGCAGGCTTGCTAGCACCGTAGTTATCACTGCATAGGGGAATAAAATCGTTAAATTTTATTGCTTTCAATCTTGAGTTGAATTTCAAGTGGGTTTCGAGAGAAGGAGGTTTATATGGGAGCGTAGACATTGCGTCATCATGATACGTCACTAACGACTTGTACAATGTATGTACAAGTCTGAAATTATCATTTACTTTTTGTCTCTGAAGAAATTTAGTGACGGTGCATCTCTACACGTTTTTAATGTTACTTATGATGCACTGTTTGTCAGCTATAATTTAAGTCATAATTATTATGTAATAGGGTATGAGACTATGTCATGGTATCGTCATTATCATCATGGGAGAGCATCAGAAACAGCCTGCATGCAAATACAATATTTAAGCTATTAGTGAAAAGTTCTAATACCCTTATAGTATCCATTGACGGATTTGTAATAGATTCGATTGTGGGAAAAAGTGCATATATATAAAGATAATATATAAGGACATGCGATCGATTGATCTCGCGAACGCAATGGAGTCACATGATTTGTATACCAACGGATTTGGGGTAATGGCGCTACCATATTCCGGCCTCTGTCGCGTTACGCGTCTAATGGAATGTCAGCTATCCGTCATCGAGTCAAGTTTTTTACCCCAGAAATATGCAAACTGCTTCTTTTTACCCTAAGCCCACTTTTGTGAATGGAAGTGTTAGAATTATTATTTGAAGTCAAAATACTTTAAAGAATTATGTAAAGTTAAAATGTTTGAGTCAGGTATTTCGAAGAGATTAAGGAATTCCTTTGAAGTACTGTCCTTTGGTTAGAGATTGTATTTAATTTTTTACAATGAGATATAAGTAAGTATACAGGAAAAGATCGTGAGGAAACCTTGATCCTTCTTCGTGAGAGAAAGAGCCTTTTGCTTAGATTTAGAACAGGCTGATGATAGTGATGACTAATTTTTGAAGTATTTGTATGTTATTGGTTTATCTACTTAACATAACATAACATAACATCACGCTTTTTACGCGCAAAGGGGTAGGCAGAGGTGCACATTATGCCACTGTATAATGTTACACCCACTTTTCACTATTTATGTTATGAGTCCCATGTAATAGGGGGTGAGCCTATTGCCATATACCGGGCACAATTCCAGACTCCGTGCTACTACTGAGAATTTTAAAAACCCAGTAATACTTTGCCCGACTCGGGAATCGAACTCGAGACCCCTTGCCGCAGTCGCACTTACGACCACACGGCCAACGGGGCAGTCAGTCATTTACTTAACATTTACTGTAAAAACTATTCTATATGATATAAGTATATTATGTTACAATGAGATTACACTTTCCAATACATTTAAAGTCACTATATTTACTCAACTATCAAACTAAGAAACAATGCTGAAATGTCACAGACATGCTAATACATCTAAATAGACACTTTCTTTTCAATCTAGAACGAAAAATTGATGTCTTTTAGCGACATATGAAACGATACTGTTATAAAATTTGAACAATAGCGACCCACACATTTCCCGTTAAACATAATTGAACTTCATTTCATTGTTTTATCTGTGAAGTGACAGATGTCAGTTGTTTTTATTAGACTGCTTTTGTGAATAGTAAAAATGGCCGTTTCTAAATTCGAATTCTGAATTTCGAACGTTTATTTCTTTTTGTAATATTTTTTCTGTTTTGCTTTTACGATGGAATTAAATATTTTTGTTTTAGTTGTTGTATTTTTAAGCTGTGTGCAATTTAGTGCCTTGTCAGAGTCTAGAGATGTGTCAAAGATTTTGTCAAGAAGAAAACGGTATGTCGCTTTTCCAGAAGGTTCCAGTTTTTCGGTGAGTAGTTTTTTTATTATTTTGTACCTTATTATCCTTATGTCAAGTTTGGAACCTTATAATATAAGTTTTTAATTTGAGTTGACATTTATTTCAATACATTTTTAGAATATTGAAGAGAAAAAAAAATTCGTTGAGGGATCCAAGTACTCTTACTACTTGGATCCCTCAACAAATTTTTTCTCCAATAATCAAAGCTCAAATTCGAGATGTAACACTAACGAATTTTGTTAATAAAACAAGTTGATTTGTTTATTACAATAAAATTGTCGCCTATTTTAATTCCTTTTTTTAGTTACCTCTTTGGTCTTAAAATCTCTGTAAGGCTCTTAATATTCATAAAAAGTATTTCATGACTAAATGCAGTTAGTAAATCACACATTAATTATAATGTAGCTTATTATCGTTTTTATTTCTCTCTCTCTCTCTCTCTCTCTTTCTCTGTTTTTAAACCTTTTTTATTGTTATTTGTTATACTGAATATATTTTCTTTTTATTCCTGGCGTGCATGTCTTATGCCGAATAAATATATTTTATTTCATTTCAAATGTTGTTGTTAGAAGATTAAAAATAACTCCCCTTTTGCAGTGCGCCGGCTGTGTGACAGTTGGTCTGATTGGTCAGCCGGCTCCATCATCAAGTCCTGGAACTTTCACCTTCAGTCTTAACTGGGCGATTGCCTATGAGTTGCCCAATGTGACAGAAGCTACCATCTACTTCTTACAGAAGAAATACTATAAAAGACAGCATTTACAGAAGAGAATCAATAGGAGGGAATTATATGGGAAATTGGAGACTATATTGGATAAGTAAGTTGTGTTTAGAATTTTAAGAATTAAGACATTGAGTTTAAGCAATGCCGTTAACTTAATGTTCGTTTAAAATTTTATACCTCTATATGGAAGATGCATCAAAATCTGTTAATTAAGCTATAAGAATCTTAAACAGCTATGGTGAAACATCACCCAAGACTACGTTAATCGTGTTCCGATTACCGAATTATTGATAGCTCGTCTCCTGCGGTTAAAGTATCTGTACCTATTTATTTAGATTTCATTTTCGAAAGGGCATTGATTAAAATTGGTGCCTTTCTTTTTTCTGGCGGCAGTCGATGATTTATGGAAAATATTATCTAGAATGACATTACAAACGAAATTGTCTATGGGCACATATATGGAAATCTCAGTCTGGACTGAGTTATGAGCGTTGAAAGGAGCTGGAGTCAAACATTTTACTTCGGTTTTTTATTCAAATTATTCATAGTTTTGTCACAATTTCTA